CTCCCTCATCCTATTTCAATCATCTAACATCTATCTATCTTGATCTACATTAGGTACTGCCTATCTCACTCTCAGAATGATTATAAATGAAATTTATATGCAGTGAAACGTTTCTGGGTTTTGCTGGAAATTTATTTTAAAAAGCGGGAGAAAATACTTTGTTAACTGATTTATGAAAACAATAGAAACTGAAACAGAGGAGGAAAAAAAGAGCTAAATGGTTAGTGGGAGTTTTCAGTTTATGGGCTAAATGTATGTTAAAAAGGCCAAAGCCCCTGAGTAAGCATACTTATTTATGAATTCTAATTGTGTTTGACAAGTGAATACAGTTAGATATTTTCTTCACCACTATTTTCAGCTTTCAGCAAGGATTGAATAGAAGGTGGAGATAATAGCACCAATCTCTTTGAATTCATTCTAGAAATGGCTCAATAATGGGCATTCATTGGTAGATAAGCCTCCCTGTGGCTATGAAGTGCCTCCGACCATGTTTCCAATTTATGGCAGCACAACTAGCCACTTCTTTAAAAAGTGTGAGCTTCTTTGTCCATTTGCCAGTTGAGCTTTGAGAGACCATATAATCCTCTTCTTTTCTTTTCTTTTAGAAAAACGATACATATTGCTTTGAGATGGGACCTATCTTCAAACTCTTGATATCTCTCTGTGCAAATGACATACCTTCTGAAAACTCCTTGAAAGTGAGAATTATTAAGAACTGAATAGTTCATAGTTGAGAACAATTTCATTTTCCTGAGAAGCAAGCCTATGTATTTCCTATTGTGTATATTAATGAAAAGTGGGTGGGTAACAAATTGGGCATTTAAATAAGCTTTTCAAATGATGCTTCAGAATAATTTGTAGCAATGTTCCAATATCTGAAAATCATTATAAACATAAGAGAAGGAAAGGGAAAATGATTCTAATGGAAAATGATTCTAATTTTTCTGTATGTGGAGGAAATTAAATAGAAATATTATTTAATCTTGGTATAATCCAATGAAGTTTAATACAGTTTTCTAACTAGAATTGTATAATTAATAATCCAACATCAGTGACTACATTTCCATTAGAGAATGATGTTAGTCTTTGCATCAACACTTATGTCACCTTTAATATTAAGAGATGATGTATAGTATAAGGTTTTATAATACTTTCTGATAAAATGCTTAATAACTTTATTAGTTCTACATATATCTCAGGGCTATTTTTTGTTTATAATTAAAAGAAATACTAGCACAAATAAAATTCATAAAGTTGGTTATCTACAATAAGAAATCCACAACAAAAAAACTAAAAAGCACTGAGAAGACATTTAGCCAGTGATCCAGTATGTGATGAATATTGAAAAAAATACAGGTAAAGAGAATAAAATAGTTTTCTTTTTAAAACTAACTGTGACAATTGAGGGCTTTTTTCCCCATTTTTTTTAAATGAACAGGTGAAGTATTTAGGTCACTAACCATAAACATAGGCTCTGTTCCAAAGTTTGTTTCAATGTTTGTTTAGGAAATGAGTGTTAATGGCTGCAAGTCATTCAAACCATCTTTTGGTTATGAATAGTGTATGAACCAATCAAGTGTTTTCTGCATTATTCTCAAAAGGGATTCATAAAAAAGTTTGGGTAAAACCTTTAAAGTTCTAAATGGCTATCGGGCCAGATTATTTGCAGGACCATCTCCCTCTAAGGATATTTGCCCCATTAATTGGATTAAGTCCCTTTTCTTAAACGTTGCAAGACCTTCTTAACCCTTACAAGACTAGGAAGCGTGTCCTTTCTGTGACAGACTCTGTCCTATGGAACATGCTTCTTCCTGAAGTCTGGCCGGACCCCACATTTGCAACCCTTCCAAAAAGTACTTAAGACAGGCTCTCCCCATAAGTTGGTATAGGATGAGATTGGCATGAAAAGAGTATGTTGTGGGTTGCATTGAAATATTTAGCTGTGGCGCCAGGTTTTTGGGGTTTCACTGTTTGTGTTTTGTTGTAGCTACATATTCTTTTATTTGAGAATTGTGAGACACTCACAATTTAGTTCAAGATTGGCAGTTTTTATAACTGTTTATATAAAATAGATAAATAAGTGAGATTTGCATGGTTTAGAGATCTATTTGCTTTTTGTAATACCGCAGGACTTGATGAATTCCTTTGAAAACATTTCTGACAGCCATTCCCTCTGGGATATTGAAGGAAAGAAACAAATTTTAACAACTTTGTCCTTGTTAATGGAAGGAATAAGTACAGTTGCCCTATCAATAACTTTTGCAGAAGGAGAACAGAATGTGGATCAAAACTCCATGGGTAAGAACTCCACTACTTAGATAATAGTACAGTTTGAAGGAAAAAAGGGCTTCTACTTTTACTGTATGTTTTATAAGTGATTTTTTTTTATCTGAGTCTCCTTTCATTCATCAGCTGTTAGCATATCTTCCTATTGTGCTTTATACAGGCAAGCTATAATTCTGACTTCATTCATCTGGATATTAGTAATCAAAGCTATTTTTCATTTATTCATTTGATTTATTAAATTTGCATCCCATTTTTCTATGAAATATTAAAGTTTTTACTGTTTAAAGATATGTTAGAAAACATAAAATAGTTAATAAGAATAAAATAATAACAAAATAGGAGGTGGAGTAACATTATATATAAAAGATCACTTCATCTCTACAGAAATACACAAAACCAAGGATGAAAACCTCCTAGAATCCATATGGGTCAATATAAAGGGAGGGGGGGGAAATGACATTGCTATAGGTGTATACTACAGGCTACCCAACCAAGCAGAAGAAATAGATGAACTCTTTGTTAATCAATTAACAAATGTAAGTAGAAAACATACCACAATAGTAATGGGAGATTTTAACTACCCTGATATCAACTGGGAGACAAACTCTGCAGCAAGTGGGAAGTCGAACAGATTCCTAACCAACTTAGCTGACAACTTTGTCATCCAAAAGGTAGAGGAGGGAACTAGAGGAAAAACTATACTGGACCTAATTCTTACTAATAAAGAAGTGATAGAAGGAGTTTAAATTGCTGAAACTTTGGGTGAGAGTGACCACATCATACTGGAATTCAATATAATGCAAAGACAAGCAATAGAATATAAAGAAATAAATATTTATTTAAAATAAATACGACTTCAGCAACAAAGTGGTCAAAGCCTGGAATGCCCTACCCGACTCCATTGTTACAGCCTCAACCCCTCACAGCTTCAACCTGAAACTTCTACCGTGGACCTCACCCCATTCCTAAGAGGTCCTTAAAGGGGGTGTGCATAAGCACACCAGTGTGCCTACCATCCCTGTCCCAATTTATCTGTATTTACTCCCTTTGTTCTTGTTTATGTTTATACTTATACTTGTTATCTTGTACATGTATGACAACCAAACAAATAAATAAATAAAATAAATAAATGTCTTATTTGTTATTAGCTCCAGGTTTTTTTTAAAAAATGACCTGCATTTATTAGATCCATTCAGCATTTCTTTGTCATTCCAGGGATCCAAACAAATCTCATCAGTCCAGAATCCTTTGAAAACAATGACGCACTCAAGTTAAAAGCTAAAGGAGATCAAATTGCCATCCACCCAAGAGCAATGGCAGTAACTGCCATGATCACAGGTATTGCTCATAGTTTGCTTGGTTTTTCTACCAAGAGTAGATCCAAAACTACTTTTATAATCTGCTTTATTGTTCCCTCCCTGTCAGCTGCACCTCATGATTTTTGAACCCACAGAAACTTTCCTCGCTCTGGTTTGAATTAGGGAAATTTCAATCCAAAATCTGTAAAATGCTAAACTGGGAAAGGTGGACTTAAGGCAGAGGTCTCCAAACTTGGCAACTTTAAGACTTGTGACTTCAACTCCTAGAATTAGCTGGCTGGAGAATTCTGGGAGTTGAAGTCCACAAGTCTTAAAGTTGCCAAGTTTGAAGACCTCTGCCTTAAGAGAAAGAAAGTAGTTGGTAGCACCTATTTTACCAGGAAGTAAATATATGGTCCTACATTGATCCTTTCATTATATCAAGATTTTGCCAAGCTGGGGAAAATACATACTCTTTATTTGACGTTATCTTGCTCTCTGATCTTCCTTCTGCCACTTACAGATCCAATTGCTGTGGCTTTTATATCACATGGTGGGTTGGAATCACTCCTAGAAGAGACTTTACTGCAGAATGGAACATTCCAGGGCAATGAAATACTGAAAGATGTTCACATGAACTCTAGGCTAGTAAGCATTTTCACCAGCAACCAGATAACAAATATTTCTACCCCGGTTAATCTCACCTTTCAGCATCTCCAGGTATGTAAATGAAGCCTTGGGAAACCAATCCTCTTTTTCTATCCATCTTATGAATATATATTAAGAAAGAAAGCAGAATATTGAGGAAAATGTAAAGTTGAATAAATGCCTTCAATAGATCTTATTGTCGTTCAAGACAAGTCTGATAGCACCTTTTATTTAAAAAAAAAAACACCATATGATTCTGTGGACTGCAGCTCATTAAACCATATGTCTTTTAATAATATTTGTTATTGGAAAAAGTGCTACCAGAATCTTTTTTATTTTTTGCCACCATGGATTAACATGAGTTACTACTGCAGTGCCTGCTCACCTATAAGGTCTATGATGTATACACATTGTTCCTTTTGGTTGTCTTACACTTGCTTCCTTATTAATATTCAATAACTATGATGTAGAGTGTAAAGTAAATAAGTAGATTTCCTCCCTGCTTCCCATCAACATTATTTCCCTCTTGCAGAATAAAGTGGCCCAGGAAAAGGTTCTCTGTGTCCACTTGAATTCTGGGGCCTTGTCTGACCATGGTTGCCAACGACTCTTTTCTAACATCACCCATACAGAATGCAGCTGCCAATATCTGTCCAGTTTTGCTGTGCTGATGGCCACAACTCATAAACGAGTATGTAATTTCTGAAAACATCTCAGAACTGTATCGTGGTAAACAACATGTTGTTTTTTCCTCACTTATTCAAATATCTGTTGTGTCCAGCTCTTGTCAAGGAAGATATTTTTTTATTGTTGAAGCTGGGATAGAATAACATTTCTCTACTGAACATACTGTAGAGTTTTCCATAATTATTCATAGCCATTCCTCTCATATATAGAAAAGTAAACCAAGAAATGCTTGTAAGACTCAAGAGTTAAAGATCCTGACACTTTGTTTCCAATCACAATACAACAAAAGCAGTCAGGTAATAGGATAGCTTTTATATGCAAGTCAGATCTATTGTCTAGAGTCTAGATGAAATGTATCTATGGTCTAGATGAGTGGTTGCCAACCAGTGGGCCGGGGACCACTGGTGGTCCGTGAGGAAATTTTGATGGTCCTCAGAGAAATGTCACCCCCAAAGCAATTAATCCAGGTTGCATGGGAACAAAAGGCTGTGCTGCCCACATGGCCCGTGGGAACATAAGGCTTGCATTGTTTGCATTGCAAACAACATGAGGTAGTGAGGGGAGGGGGAAAGGGTGGAGTGGGGAACTTGCCCTACTTGCCCCACGCGCCTTGCCTGGCCACCGGGCTACTTCTTTCTGCTTCTTTCTTCTTGCTTTTGACTGCATGTAAGGAAAGCAGCAAAAGTTTTTCTTTCTCTCCCCCAAACTCTGCCAGAAATGAGTCTTTGGGACCCTGCAAGACATCCTGCTCCAAGAGGCTGTGCTGGTGTGACAAGTCTCACAAAGACTCGTTTCTGGCAGAGTTTGGGGGAGGGAAAGAAAGACTTCTGCTGCTTCTGCTGTTTTCCTTACATGAACCCAAAAGTCTCTCTCTCTCTCTTTCGCTCTCCCACTGAGAACAGACCTGGAGACGGTATCCTGCAATCCCAAATAAAGAATGATCGATCGGTAGGAAAATGGGGTGGGGAATTTTCCTGCAGTCTTTTTTGGCATTTTCCCAGGGTCTCTAGTCTGTGGGATTTAAAATTATGAGTTTGGTGGTCCCTGAGGTCCAAAAGGTTGGCAACCCCTGGTCTAGACAAACTTTCTTATTAAAAAGTGGCTTATATAATGTTGAAAACTTCTCTTTCCAGGGAGATCTGATCCTCACCATTATTAGCTTCCTTGGGTTGTCCATCTCAATCATCTGTCTCTTCCTGTGTATTGTCACATTCCTCTTCTGCCGCTCCAGCCACAACAGCAGCACCTTCATCCACCTACAACTGTGCATCTGCCTGTTTTTTGCAGACCTCCTCTTCATAATTGGAATAGATAAAACTGGCAACAAGGTATTTCAGAAGAATATGCTCTGCTTAGTGGAGAGAGAACCCCTCTGAGTGTGCTTCCTACTCAGTTTAAATTAAAGTCTTCTTTTTTCTTTAGATTAAATAATTTGAATCAGTTTTCTTTGCAATTCTTTCACCTTTTTTATTAATTTTATAATATTTCCCTACCTGAAATGAAAGAAAGATTACTTTGCACAGATCTTTCCTGCTGCTCTATTACTGGAAACATGAGGGTCAAGAGATATGATTTGTTCCCCTTTCTTGATTTTCTTTCAAAACCAACAATTCAAAAATCAGATGCTGATAAAGAAATAACATTTTATTTTTTATTCAGATCCTGTGTTCGGTCATAACTGGAATTCTGAAGTATCTTTTTTTGGCCTGCTTTGTCTGGATGTTCTTGGAAGCTATCAATCTCTACCTCATTGTCAGAAACTTGAAAGTTGCAAATTACAGCGGGGCCAGCAAGTATATGAAGATATCTATGTACCTCATTGGTTATGGGTTTCCTGTCCTGATTGTAGCTATTTCTGCAGCAATTAATCCTGGAGCCTTTGGGACACTTTATCGGTAAGCCTGAGCATATGGTTAAAAGCTGCTTCCCTCAGCCTGGTGCCACCAAAATGTAAGCTACATGAACACAATTGCTAGCATTACTCAGAGAAAGGCAATTTTGAACAATATATTGAAGTGTCTGCATGTCTGTCTAAATTTTTCCTAATGATATTTCTTCCCTTTAGCTGCTGGCTTAATCCAAATTTTATCTGGAGTTTTACAGGACCTGTCTGTGTGATAATTGTGGTGAGTAAGCATTGCCACTCTCTTTTTAACAGCAGAGAAATGAATTTTATATAACATTTCTTCTAAAATGACTAAGAAGAAAAATAAAAACCTGATATCAATGAAGCTAAATCTGATACACCATCCTTCTTTGGTTTTCAGCCTTTACAAGATGATGTATCTTTCACAAATAATGTGGTAAAAGTCATTGCTTGGGAACCACATTTAAAATAATGTAGGAAAATCCGTTACACAAAGGGAATTCATGAATTTCAATATTTTGCCAATGGCTGGAATTTTATACTTTAGGAAGAACATTTTTGGGGGAGGAAAAGAAATGATGAAGTGGGAGAAAAACATTTTGAATCAAGATGCAAACTTTCATTTCTTCTATTCATCTGGAATTAAAATAGAAGTGAACATCTAATTACTTAAAACAATCAATTAGCAAAGTATAGGAACTCAAACTAACTTTACTTTTCTTTCCTTCAGCTTATCTAGTCTTAGGGCATGATCTATTTCTTGTTGTTGTTGTTATCATATTTATCTGAGACTTATTTCCCCCCCCCCTCAAAGGTCAATTTAGTGCTTTTCTGTCTTATTCTGAAGAATTTGCATGAAAAACTGGCCTCTCTCAATTCAGAGATATCTGCAGTCAGAAGTACCAGGTAAGATCAATCATAAAATATGAAACTAGGAGTTCAGTATGATCCTGGCAATTTGACAAAAAACATTTACAAAATTCTTTTTCATAGTATTCCAGACCATATGAAGTTTGTCACAATGTCGGATGGTTAACTTTTTGCTATTGTTGTAGATCACTGATGTTTAAGGCCATAGCCCATGTGTTCATCCTGGGTGTGACTTGGTGTTTTGGCCTCTTTCAATATGGCCATTTGGAAGACGTTATGGCATACATGTTCACCATCTTCAACAGTGTACAGGGAATCTTCATTTTCCTGGTGCACTGCTTACTCAACCAAAAGGTGATGTATAGAAGACCAGAGGCCTGCACTTTGAACAAACAACACAATTTGGAAAGTTAGATTACAATAGAAAGTCTTATGGTCCATGTCCCAAAGTGCAACTAGACTTTCTGGATTTTCTTTGAAGACATTTTGCTTCTCACCCAAGAAGCTTCTTCAGCTCTGGCTGGGTGGTGGGGAATGGAAGGATTTCATTGGAATGGAATCCTTCCATTCCCCACCATCCATTCAGAGCTGAAGAAGCTTCTTGGATGAGAAGCAAAATGTCTTCAAAGAAAATCCAGAAAATCCAGTTGCCTCTTGAAAAAGCACCTTTGGGACAACTAAATGATTGAGAAACTCCATAGACATTCTTACAGTCCATATTTTCAAAACTAGCTTCAGGATTTTGTGAGTTCCTGGTACAAAAATGGTCCATGCCCTCATCTACCAGTTTCTCTCTCATAGAAGAAAAAAAAAAGCTGTTTGTGTGTGTGGGGGGAATGTAATGGTTAGGATGTGAATGTCATCTCCCTACAGGTAGCCCTTGACTTATGACCATTTTTTAAAGGATGGTTGAAGTTGCAGCAGTGTAAGAAAAAAGTGAGTTATGAACTATCCTGAACTAACCTGTCACACTATCCCTGCAGGCACATGGCTGCAATTTGGGCACTTGGCAATCAGCTTGCATTTTCAATCCTTGCAACATCTTGCAGAGATGTAATTGTGATATGCCAACCTTCTCAGCTAGCTTCCCACATGCAAAGTCAATTGGGGAAGCTAGATTTGCTTCAGGATCATGCTGATTTGCTTAACAACTGTGTGATTGCTCAGTGGCCATAGTAAAAATGATCATAAAATTGGCTCCAGTCGTGAGATGACTTGAATAATTGCCACATCGCTTAATGACTAACATTCAGGACCCAATTATGGTTGTAAGTTGAGGATTACCTGTACTAAAGATTGGGCTAAAAATAGATTGATTAGGAGAAAGATGAATTTTAAGAAAATGCAATAAAGAGAAGAAATCTGATGATAATGTAGTTATTGAAATATTCAGTTTTGTTTTTTAAAAAATGTTAAACGTTAACCCACTTTTCATACTTACAAACAATTCCCCAAACAGGGGCAATTGCATTGAAGATTATTCTTCTGAGTGACTTTGTATTTGGATCTTCAGGTAAGAGAAGCTTACTGGCATTTGATTTGTTGCACCAAAGACATCAGACCTCCTGTTTCTGAGATAACTATGACGTCTGTTCCCATCAGCAGTCCTTCGGTAAGATACATGTGAGACGGATAGATTGAATCAAACTTGCAGTGGTAGGGGTAACCAGCCTTGATGCCTATTACAGGCAGTATCTATATGTCCAGAACATCAGTAGAATCGTTTTTCTAACCCATTTAATTCTTACAATGCAAACACCATTTTTACAGGTGAAACTCAAAAAATTAGAATATCATGCAAAAGTTCATTTATTTCAGTAATGCAACTTAAAAGGTGAACCTAATATATGAGATAGACTCATTACATTCAAAGCAAGATAGTTCAAGCTGTGATTTGTCATAATTGTGATGATTATGGCTTACAGCTCATGAAAACCCCAAATCCACAATCTCACAAAATTAGAATATTACATGCAATCAATAAAACAAGGATTGTACATGGAACAATATCGGACCTCTGAAAAGTATATGCATGCATATGTACTCAGTACTTGGTTTGGGCCCCTTTTGCAGCAATTACTGCCTCAATGTGGCGTGGCATGGAAGCGATCAGCCTGTGGCACTGCTGAGGTGTTATGGAAGACCAGGATGCCTCAATAGAGGCCTTCAGCTCTTCTGCATTGTTCGGTTTCATGTGTCTCATCTTTCTCTTGGCAATGCCCCCTAGATTCTTTATGGGGTTCAGGTCAGGCGAGTTTGCTGGCCAATCAAGCACAGTAACCGCACGGTCATTGAACCAGGTCACTAAGTAGAACTGCAACTGTGTTTACAATCTTATTTCAGCCTTCCTTTGCTTTACAGACCTGCAAAGGTTATAAATGTAAGGATTTGTCGCAAAGTTACCTTTTCATCACCATCGTAACTGCAAACTAAAGCAAACTTAATGGAGTTTAAAATTTAAACTCCTGCTAAAGGAGACAGTCATTAAATGAGGGCTGAACTAATCCGGTAGCTAAAATAATATTTTCTGCCTTTGATTCAAATATTTTAGAGAGCTGACATTTGATGGAAAATTCTGTAGGGGATGCATTCATTTATTTGCAGATTCTACAAAGTCCTAATTTTTAACTGAAAATTGAACTTTTCCTGCCTACCCACAAAAATTCTGTCATTTCACTTAAAAGTGAAAAGCATCTGAGCAAGTTGTTAAAAAGTGGAGATTGTTCTTAGATTATGATACAAATATGATACTGTGTTATGTAAAGAATAGCATTTGTGGTTTCTTTAGTTTAGCTTGCTCAGTAAACAAAGATTTTAGCCCAGTCTTCATTTACTATTGTATATTGTTTTTACCTTTTGCTCATTATAAAGCAAACTTTTAAAGGGTGTATTTTCTCCCCAGGAAAATGAACCATGTAATGCAGAGCATAACCAGAAGATTGAATGGGAAGAACCATCATAGCACACTGTCTCTCCTTTAGACTCTTTGTTCAGTTTGAATGAAACTGAAGAAAACTGGGTTATATTCAGCCATTTTTAATTTTCTTTCCTTGCTGATCTCTGGAGCCACATTCTCTTCAAATTATAGTGGAGAACTTTTCCCCCCCAACCCATTCCTTGTTTTAACTCACTTAACCAGAAAGAAAATATAGAGGGGGCAGGTTATCTGCTTGCCACTAACTATAATATCTAGTGGATATTTTGTTAAATTAAAAACAAAGAGCCTTGAATAACTGTATAATGCAGGATGAATTTAAATGTCTTTTTCATATATCTTGTATTTATTGTCAGTATTTTTCCTAATGGCTTCTTATGCATCTTTGTAGGTAGAGTATTGGATAAAATGTTTTTATTTCTCAAGTAGATATAGATAATGTTCTGCAAATTATTTAAAGAGGCAGTTTCACTTGTGGCAACACTGTAAACCAAGAGTCATTCTTTGAACCATCAAGTTAACTACCGTACATCTTTCTCAAGATATGACTCTTTCCTGTGTTGGAATATTTAGAACACTCTTCTGCCATGATTTTGCTGGTTTTTGAGGAACAATATATTGCTAAGACATTGAAGTTAAGTGATTTATACTCCACATAGGTAAACTTTATTGTTTTGCTTTATAATAAGAACAATACATTAAGTAGTTGAATTTATAATTTCACTGGCTGACATTTGATACATGTATTATTTACTTCCTTCCCTTCCCTTTATATACTTTACATTTGTATGTTTGCTTTGTATATTCCCAGTGGTTAAGTCAAGAAAGTATCTTGAGATTTATGGTCCAAAGCTCATTGACACCATAATTCATCATGCATATGAATGTTGGTATTTTAAATATCAATCATATTTAAATATGTCACTGAGTATTTTTGGTTACTTTTTTTAGCTGCAGCTATTATTCAATTTTAATGTGAAGCCTCAAATTATAATGCCCACTGTAGGATAAATAGAATGATCATGATGCCCAAAATAATTTGGACTGATTGATGGATTCTAATATCCAGTTGGCTGCTAATTATCCAGGAAGCAAGATGTGAGGTTCTAGTTTGATATACCACACAATTTTTTGGGAGGACAACGTGGAAGCCTGGAGAAGCAGAATGAGACTTTGACAGCCAGCGGAATCTAATGTGGGTTTGGGGAGACCTTGGGAGAGCTGGTGGAGGCTGGTCATGGATAGGAGAAAAAATTGCAAGAGCAACTGACCAAAACAATTTGCCACCTCCTCTGTTAGCCTTCCCATTGACTTTCCTTGTGCAAGGAAGTTACAAATGGCGATCAAAGGCTACAGCTCACTACCAATCACAATAAAATCTCTCTAAAGCAAGCATCTAACATGCAGTATATACACATTACAAGGAAAACATACTTCAAGGATAGCTTTACAAGATTACATTGTTGACATTTTCCTTATTAAGTTTGCCTTAGTTATGTGGGGCTGGATTTTTGCTGGCTCAAGTTGATTTCATTCTGCCTTTGTTAAACCAAGTAGTTTTTCTTTTTGTTTTTCTGGTAAGGCAATAATTTCCTGAAACATATTGGAACTGTATAGATGGAGAAACTAGATCTGGTCTCTGTCATGTCCCCAAGGACAGAGGGAGATATCTTATAAATAAAGGGATAAATACTACAAAGCCAACTATGGAGCTGCACAAGCATTTCCACTTTAGGAATCATTGTCCCATAAACCCAAATCAAGAAATATGCCTAAACAATGTCAGGCAACATGTCTTTAATAAGCAAACTGAACTCTAAACAATTTTTTAAAACTGCAAATTTCTATATAGTATGTAGCAAATTTTGCTTTACAGATTATTCAGTAGATCTCTATTTCTTGAACTGTATTGATGATGAATACCATTACTACAGAGAGTTTGTTCTTTGTAATTGGCGTACAGTCTGGCTACAATATATTCTGCTGCTGAATTCCGTAAAGAGCTTCCAATCTCTATCATCATCATAACCACCACCACCACGTTGAAAATGTCTTTAGAGAAAGCATGACTGTAATTCCTTTTTGAGAGCCAGTTCATTGTAATAGTTAAAGCATCCAGCTAGAAACTGGGAGATTGTGAATTTTAGTCCCTCATTGGATACAAAACCATCTGGGTGACCTTGTTCCAGTCACTTTCTCTCAGCCCTAGGAAGGAGGCAATTTCAAGTCATTTCTGAAAAATCCTGCCAAGCAAAATGTAGGAATTAGTCCAAGCAGTCTCTGAGAATTTGAATGGAAGGGGAGGAAAAACCCTAGGAAAACAAGACAATGCTGGTTACTTCAGATATCCATTACCTAGTATTTTATCATTTGGGGTAAATTATTACTATTCTTAAGGCATAGGGTATTCAGATTTATGAAGGTCTGACTGCATGAATACTACATGAAGATAATTATCTTCTATAGTAGAATATCAGGAAATATTCAAAAAGAATCTGCTGCCCTTCATCCTTGTTTACTGGTTGTGAATATTTGCTTTATATTCAACAGGTTTAAAGAATTCTTTTTTTCAGCATGGTTTCAGATGATCCACCAAGATCCAGCTTCTTAATTAGTTACAACGCAGTGAAACCTATAAACAGGGATTGATCTCACTTCTGAAGGTCTTCCTAAGAGATAAGACAGCCCTTTGTTCTAAAATAGGAAGAACAATTTAATATAATTAAGGTCCACATGGCAGCATTTGGATCATAGATTCCTTATGATGAAGCCATATTTTCTAGAAAGAAAGCAAATCATTTATATACCTTTGCTGTGAAAGTATATGCTTGTTTTTGTTCTCGGATCCCAAGCAACTTCTCAGTACCTCCCATTTTTGGAAATATAATGTGGGGGGGCTCATTAATACCATATGAAATATGGAACAGTATTTAAAGCCACTTCAAATATTAAGAATCTTCCCATATGGATAGATGCTTAACCAACAGATTGTAATATGTTACAGATCTTTCTGGTTACTGTATTATATATATTCTTAAACAGGTTCTTATATTTTTGGTACTTTTTCAGAATTATAGCAGAGATCCAACACGAATTATAGGAATCAAAATAAAGTTGTTCTAATCTTTCGCACAAAACGCACAACCAACATTATTATTAATTTTTCCCACCCTTAAAAATCTGTAAGAGCATCAGCATTTCATTATTCCTGCCAATATTTATGGAGAAATTATCCGAGGCAAAATTGCACAATTATTTAGGCTGAACCCTGAATCACAAAACATTTTTTCAGGAAATTTGCAACGTTGACAAGTTCTGCTTGGTTTTCTCTAGCTCTAACGAGAAACCGAGTCCTACTGAAATGTGAGAATCTCTAACGGTGATTGAAAATAGAGTGGTACAATTTTTTCAGGACTTCCATATGGACTTGGGGAAAATATAGTTTGTTTTAACCATCAAAACTTTATGATCTTACTTCCCCCTTATGCGTATACACACACACACACACACACACACACACACACAAATACACACACACACACAATAAGTTAACTGGCTTTTCTGCCTTCATATACAGTACATATAGCAATATCACTTAGACTTATATACCATTTCATAGTGTTTTACAGGATTCTTTGAGCAGTTTACCAATGTCAGCATATTACCCCTAACAATCTGGGTCCTCATGTTACCGACCTTGGAAGGATGGAAGGCTGAATCAACCTTGAGCCTGATAAGATTCGAACTCCTGGCAGTGAGCAGTGAGCTAGCCTACAATACAGATAGTCCTCGACTTACGACCACAATTGAGCCCAGAATTTATGTTGCTAAGTGAGAAATTTGTTAAGTGAGTTTTGCCCCATTTTACTTTTTTTTTCTTGCCGCATTTGTTAAGTGAATCACTGCGATTGTTATATTAGTAACCAGGTTAAGTAAATCTGGTTTCCCCACTGACTTTGCTTGTCAGAAGGTCAAAAAAAGATGATCACATGACCCCGGGACACTGCAACCGTCATAAATGTGAGTCAGTTGTCAAGCATCCGAATGTAAATCACGTGACCATGGGGATGCTGCAACAGTCATAAGTGTGAAAAATGGTCATAAGCCACTTTTTTCAGTGCCATTGGAACTTTGAACAGTCACTAAATAAATTTGAATTTGAATTTGAATTCTTTATTGTCATTGTATGTATGTACACAGTATACATACAATGAAATTCACATAACACTGAGAGACCAGACCCAACATGCACACACATGACAGTCCCCAAACACCCACCCACCCACCAAATTTTCTGCCCCCTAAAAAGACCAAGTAACGCTGTCCAACAGCTCACTGATGGTGGTCCTTAAGTTCATTGTTAAGTGCAGTTATAGCTCTAGACAGGGATGGGATCCGACAGGGTTAACTACCAGTTTGGTGATTTATGATGTGCTTCCCTGCATGCTGCACGTGTGTGTAAATGTTTGTCAGCTTGCTGCCTGGACAGCTGAGCAGTGCTGCGTGCAGGGAAGCAGAGTTTGAAAAAGCCCTTTCTTCCTGCTTTATCAACCGCAGCTGTGCCTCGCATGGCAGCTGAGGTTGAAAAAGCAGGAAATAAAGGTCAGGTAAGATCCCAGGTGGGCGGGTGGGCCAAAACAGCAGCAGACATAGAACCGGTTCTATGTCTGCTGCTCTTCAGAGCTACCGGTTCTACAGAGCCGGACAGAACCGGTAGAATCCCACCCCTGCTCTAGGATAAAAACTGTTCGGAAAACGTGTGGTCCAAGTTTTAATTGTTCTGTATCTTCTGCCAGAAGGCAACAGTTCACAAAGATTACAAGCAGTGAATGAACTGTTCAATGAACTGTTGTAAGTCGAGGATTACCTGTATTGAATTCTAACCACTGCTCCACCACTAATTCTCAACTATTTCACCAGAAAGGTTCTGTTTTCTGAAAGGGCCATTGTAGAAAATAGCAAACTGTGCTGAGAAGAGACAAATAATAATTTGGGAAGTTCCGCATTTACTGTCCGTCCCTTGGTTTCAGGCTCCAATCAAGGCATCACTGGAGGACATTAAACTTTTTGATTGTCTGCGCTGTCTGTATACTGTCTTACATTATGATACCCCCACCACAAGGCACTGAGGAATCATGAGATCAATTTCATAAAAAGAAAACAAGAAGAAAATATGAGGAACCAAAGATGATGTTTCATCTGGAGCCTATTTCCGTTGGTCATGGTTCAGTAAGAATTTTTTTTTTCAACTAAACGTTGAAAAATAGAGAGAGCTGTATTGTGAAACATGCCTTTGTCTTTAAATATAGTTTCGAATAAGGAAAAAAGCCCTGCCCTTAGCAAGTGTTCAAATTATGATCATTCTGAAAGGCTCTTTCATCAATTATTTAAATCAGGGGTCTTCAACCTTGGCAACTTTAAGCCTGGTGGACTTCAATTCCCAGAATTCTCCAGCCAGCAAAGTTGCCAAGGTTGAAGACCCCTGATTTAAAATCAAATAATATTCTCATTGTCTTCAGTCACTCTCTGACCCCAAAATTCTTTTGTTAATAAAGAACTATCCGAATCTCAGACTGCCCAGCATCTTTGTCATAATCAGCATCTGTAGTTCCTCATAATGACAACTCTCCCCCTCCTCCTCCTCTTCATTTACAGTGTGTCCAGTCTTCAGTTGGTCTTGTGCACTTTCTCCATTCCCAAAATAGGCAGCCCCAAGTATGTTTAAGACAGAATTCAACCCTGTGTAGCAGCCTGGATCAGGTAAACTGGAGTTTCATTCTGGCTGTGTTGACTTCCTCTCTACTTGTTTCCCAAAACTGGTGGCCAGGGGTGGGATTCAATTTTTTTAACAACTGGTTCTGTGGGCG